TTTTTTTTTTTTTTTGCTGTCGCAAGTCAAAAGTATTTTCTAGGAAATGCTTAGCACCAGCTGGTACATTAAACTCAAAGACCCCCTATACGGTGTGCCATGCACACTAATATGACCCTTTAAGAAGATGTATGACCTTATTATGCAGCTAATTAAGCTTCCCCACCTTGAGCTYATAAGATAAGCTTTGTACTGCTTCTGAGTGTCCCCGAGTTTGAATCAGGGCTTTAAAAGTTAAGKTTTCTAGAGGGACACTTTTTAAATGTTGAACTTTCAGACAAAAATGAAAGAGTTTCAAAATAGCACCTTTCTTAAAWGAGATTATTTTTCTTCGTCGTATAATTACGTCAGTGACAATTAAGCAGCAATATCTGTATGATTTTATTTTCTAAAAAACAGAAGCATTTTTTTTTTTCAATTTGCAGATTCAACTGTTTAACTTTCATCTGATGAAGTGTTGAGATTTTTTTTTTTTTATGCCTAGGATGTCCTGTCAGTATTTATGGAGTGTTGGTTTTGCTGATTGGCTTCATGGGCAGAGGACGTGCTGTAACCTCATCACATGAACAGCTGCTGTTATATGTCACAGCCAGTCTAAAATGTGCTGAGTCATACTCTGTATGCGTCACTCGCGTCTTGTCAATGTGCTGCATGCTAAAAATTGTCTGTTGCTATTTGGAGAAAMAAAAAATCAATRTTTACTGCAARWGACAAATAAAATAACCTGTTTGATTTAATTTAGAGCACACAGTTTTATAGTTGTGTTGTTTTTATAAACTGTAACATAAAAGAAGAACAATAATATAATTGTCTGAGTGTGTTCTCAATAGTCTTCCTGTTTGTAAAATAGCTCATGAACTTCATTGTATTTAACTYTAAAAGTTATTAACTTTTGGAGTCCCCCGATTTAAGACGGCTACTGCAGCTAATCAGCTGTGGCAGTAGGTCAGTCATTCCCAACACAAACTCTGAAGGCTCTAGCAGATTGTACAAAACTTGTGACACCACATGTGATGGCACATATTAGTTTTAAGATGTCACCCAAACAGCTGTAACATTATTTACCCTGACATATTAGTTTATTTACAACTCCAATTGCAATGAAGTTGGGAAATTGTGTAAAACAAGCAAAAMCATAACTATTGGATAGTTATTTATCTTAAGCGTAATTATAAAAAAGTATTGCTGCTTGCATTGTGCCAATAATGACTGGCAGTGTAATGCTTTGATTATATTTTAACAATGTTTGTTGCATTGGAGTTACATTAAATATATTGTGACTCACATCATCAATAT